AAATATCACAGTTTTTATATAATTTATTATTTTATACATAATAGTTAAATTATTAATTTCAATATAATATTAAACGATTAAGTTAAATCAAAATTTCAATTAAACTTAAAAAAATCGAGTGACTATTTTATAAATAGTTAATAGTTATAAATTATAGTGTTCAAGCTAAATTGTAATCCTAAATTAAAAAAAAAAATGAAACTCTCTTTTATAATCATTAACATTTTTTAAATATCTTAAAAATAACTTACAATAAAAATAGTTAAAAGTGATATTATATAAAAAATTATAATGTTATCTTTAAAAATAAAACTAATGTTTATTGTTTTAAAAAATTACAATAAAAGAAACTAAAAATATTCATGAAATAAATTTTTAAAAAGTTAAATTTCTGAAACCAAATTAAAATAATTAAAAGTTTTCAAATATGTTATTTTATATAACTTATAACAACAATAGTTAAAAGTAATGTTATATACAAAATTATGTTGCATGCTACATTTAAAAACAAAAACAATATTTGATGTTTTAAATAATTATAATGATAGAAATTAAAATATTAAACAAATAAAGTTTTTAAAATTAATTAATCATAACAAGTATAAATATCATTAAACCCTATATCATATTTAATTTTATTAATAAGTAATGCGAATGTAGATGTCATTGAGACAATTAAGATTATAAAATTTTAAAAAATATCTACATGCATTATCATATAATTCAAGACCTACATATAGTTTATTTCTATATCTCATATTTCTCTCTTTCTATGTACATAATATCGTTTTAACACAAAGGTTGTGTTTTGCGCGTCACAACTAGCTGATAAGCTAGCTTATTTTTCAAGTTTTTTTGTGTTGTCGTGTTTGGTAAACCAAAAAATAGCTTATAAGCTAGCGTTTTGAAAAGCTATTTAGACTAGCTTTTTAAGAGCTTTTTTAAAAGTTTCCAAATACACTCCTTAATTAATTATAGAAACACATATTTTTACATGTTCTTTTATGTAATTTTATATATTTTAGCTAGTTTATCAAACGTTATTTTTTATCAGCTAGCTTTTCAGCTATCAGCTAGTTTTTTATTTAACAACTAGCTTTTCGGCTATCAGGTAGCTTTTCAGCTAGTAGGCCAAACATAGCCAAAATTGGTTCCACATAAACCTCATCTCTTCTATCCTATTATTGATAATAATTACATATAAACTTTATATGAAACAAAAATAAGATAAACGTTGCAAAAATCGGACTCTAAGCATGCCCTCATTGCCACTTTTAGTAATTTTAGTTCTCATAGGCCTTAATTAAAAAAATAAAAGCAACACTTCAAAAGTAATGATCGATATCTACGAATTTAAGTTCATGTATATTATTAGTCTAAACTTATTTCAATAGTTATTGCAATATCATTTCTTGATAGGTGTCATAGTTATTGCCGCTCTATCATTTCAAAACTACATTATATTAAAGCTCTTAAATGTCATATGATTATTCAATAAAAAGATTCATATCATAAAAAGAAAAAATGGGTAATAAGGACCGAATTTAGTCGTTTTTTACAAGTTTATCTAATAAACTAAACTTACTACGTAAGATCTTTCAAAACTATTATGATCACCTATAACCAATTTGTTATTATTTTTAGTTTATTGACATAATAGCACATGAAAGTTTCACATTTGGTTTTAACTTTTTTTTGTACTTTATAGACCATTAAACTCGAAATTTACCTATCTAAAATACAATTTTTTTTAAAAAAAATTAACAGATTTTCGGTTACATTTCTTATGTGTGCATTGACTTCAAAGGATTCTATTGCCAGGTGGACCATACTCTTATAATCTTTTCCTTTTCGACGATAGACATCAAAACAGAAACGACAATTACAGCGACCGGTGGCGGAGAAACTGTGACTGTGGAATCTTCTTCGGAAAAAGATTCTCATATCTCATACTATTAGGATCCCAAACAATGTTCGTATTCTTTGGAATCCTATTAACTATTCAATTCTTCGTCACAATCTCTATAAACAAAAAATCCCTCGACTTACCAAAAAGCAAATACAATCACATAATACGAAAACAACTTTCGAATCTCTTACTCGTGCTAAGAAAACCCGAGATTTATCAATCAATTTCATGGTTTGCAGCATCATACACCATCATCCTAGCTGTAACAGGAACGATGTTCTACTACCAAACACAACATTTAAACATTGAATCATCAGTTCTCGAAATCTCAAAAGTATATATTCAAGTCGCTATGTTAACATGTGAATCGTTTATAATCTTTGTTTGAAATCCATCCCCCAAAAAAATTAATCTCCACAATTCAAGAAACATTGACGATTCTAACGGTATCAGATTCACTTTTTGTTCCGGTTTCTATCATAGAATTGGGAAACCAGATTCACTATACGTCTGTTTTTGGGGTCTCTAGTGGCGTTTGTTATAGAGTATATTGTAAGTGGGTATATTGAGGTTATGCTTGCTTCGTGTTTCGAGGTTACATAAACTGATTTTAGCAACCAATTAAAATGTTTAATTAGGTTCGAAGGCTACCCAAAAATTTGAAGAAAAATGTTCAGTTAGGTTTTAGTAATGATGTATGTGTCGAGATGATATCCAAAACAAAAGGCGAGCAAAAAATGGTTTCTAAAAAGAGATTATATCGAGAGTTAATACTGACGGGATGATGATTTGTGCAGCTAGAGGCGACGACCTTTAATTACTGCGTCTTGGAGCATCCATTGAAGATGAATGGTAACAGTTACAACTTTTCCCATTTCACATGGGTTTAATTCCTTACGTTTCTGAAGATATGTCTAGGTGGCTATGAAACCCTTGACTATCTAAAGTCAATGTATAAATCAACATTTTAACCTGAAAACCTATTGATTTAAAAAAAAATGATATTTTAGATAGGTATATTTCGAGTTTAACGGTCTAAACTCTAAAGGATCCAAAAAAAGTTAAATGGTAATTTAAAACCAAACGTGAAACTTTCATGTGTTATTATGTCAATAACTTGGTTTTAATCACTTTCTTTTATATAATCGATCAATAAACTTACATAAAATGTTTAAAAATATCGTTATAATCATCAATTAAAAGATTTATGACGACTTCTCTTATGACTTTCACATACCTTTTCTGGACGATGCCAAACGTCCATCCATGATACTATATCTCCTACATTTTATTACGTAGTCTAAGGTAAACCAAAATAAAATCTCATATAAGAATTTATGGAATGGTCCATTGTTTTAAAAGAGATCACACCATCCAAGCATTTACATAAATAAACACTTCATCGCTAATTCATCAAGCTTAACATATCATGTTCCGGTCGCTACTGAAATTCAATGGAGAGATACATCATGTTCCCTTGTTCTGAAGGATCTCCCACACTCCAAGTACGCATATAAACAACTTCTTCATCACTAACTCATCCATCTCAACCCATCATGTTCTCGTCACTATCGAAATTCAATGGGGAATACATCTACCATGATATTTCTCTCTTTAGCTTTCCAACTACCCTATTTTGGGAAAATAAATCACGAAATCACCAAGATATTCTCTTTAAGGTCGATGATGGAACATCCTGATATTCCCTATCTTTTGCGATATTCCATTATCGAGCATAAAGATAAAAGTTTGAGAGATCTAGAAAGAGAAATACAAAGTGGACCCATAAAAAATTAGGGGTTGTAAAAAATTTGAGGGGTTACACACTAACTAATACTCGACTCCATCAACATTTTAACAATATTTATAGGTATTGGTGTGTGATGAGTTCGTCGTTAAAATCATTACCATGGATTACCAACATATTTACACTAAATTTACATTTGACGGAAAAAAATGAATGGTTGGCCCGTGCTACCCTAGGGTATAAAATAGGTCTACAAAGGAGTGGATCACAGATGTATTATCAATTAACTATCGATAAAGATGGAAACCTGATGAGTTAAGCTAAGTTGGAAGAATTAGTGATAGCCGGAAGAATTAGTGATGAAAAAATGTTCATGTCCATGTTTGAAGTCGGGTTCACATTTAACGATTTAATATAAAGATATACAGATTGATACTATTTTTGGCGAGGATGATCTGATTTCCGTTGAAACAATGAACTATCCCATATGTAAGGTCCCGATTTTCTTTTGACCACACAATGAAATGGAGGAAAGATGATACCATGGATGGAAAATTGGTTTCTATGAGAACAAACAGATGAAAGTCATAGAGAAGTTATTGAATTTCTTCAGAAATAATAGTCTTTGGTAATAATGAGTTTTTTCCAAACATTTTATGTAAGTTTGTTCAAATGTGTACGAAAAGAAGTATCGAAATATGTACAATTATAAAAATTTATTACCCGTCAAGTTATTTTCCAAGAACATAAAAATTAGAAGGCTCATATTTATCAATTGGTAAAAAGTGTAACATTCATGGAGATAAATTATGCTATAAATTATAAAATATATGATCTTATAAAAAGATATTAGATTTGAAAAAGATTAAATAAAAAAAAATATCAAACAGATAGATTGAAGATTCAAATACTGTAAATAGATTTTGAAAATTTATAACAACTAATTTTGGGATTATTTTATTCTTCCGGATTTTTTGCAGCAATTCACTGATATGATTTAAAATAAAATATATTGAAATACTACAAATTAAATTTTGTTCCAACACCGATTGAAATCAAGCAAAACCCACATGCTTTTGTTCTGTCTCTTTCTCTTTCTCTTTCTCTCTCACCTCTTCAAATTTACCAGAAATAAAAAACAATAATTCAAACGCCCACCATTTATTGATCGAATAATATTGCATTTATAACTGGTTTTGTTTTAACTTTATAAAATTCATTATAACCGTTCAAATTCAATTATTAAATAGTGTAAAAAGATAAATTATACGTATGTTCATACCCAAGCTTCCATAGTCCATATATACTACCCCTTTTGCTCATCTTTCTTCACCAACGCCTCCTTCTCAGTTTCTCTCTCTCTCTCTCTCTCTCTCTCTCTCTCTCTCTCTCTCTCTCTGAATCAGTCTTTCCATTTTTGGAAGCGGTTTATCGGATCAAACTGATAAACCAAACCAACATTGTCAATTGAACAGATCACATTTGTGATTTTTTTGTTTTTGATGGAGAAATTTATGAAGATGGGAGGTCTACTGTTTCTGCTATTGGGGGTTGTACCTTTGGCTTTGGGAGGTGGACATGACTATGGGCAGGCACTCACTAAGAGCATTTTGTTCTTTGAAGCTCAGAGATCTGGTTACCTTCCTGGTAATCAAAGAGTTAAATGGAGAGGAAACTCTGGTCTTCTCGATGGCAAAGCCAGTGGGGTAACTCATCTTCCTCTCTTCTTATTGCGTCAATAGAATTCTGTATAAAGTAGGGTTTTTTGAATCATATTTGGGAGTAATTCGATGGGTTTTGTTGTGTAGGTGGATCTGGTTGGAGGATACTATGATGCAGGGGATAATGTGAAGTTTGGGCTTCCAATGGCGTTCACTGTTACCATGATGTCGTGGAGCATTTTGGAGTATGGTTCGCAAATGTCTTCGAGTGGTGAGCTCGGTCATGCCATGGATGCTGTGAAGTGGGGGACTGATTACCTCATTAAAGCTCATCCACAACCTCATGTTCTATATGGAGAAGTAATTATTGTCTCCCTAATTTGATTAAATTATAATTGTCGCTCTAATATGTCTAAATCATTTTTTGATTGCGACGTTTAGGATTAACTTTTTAGGGTTTTGTTTTAACCAAACTGATGGTGATTGATTTAGGTAGGAGATGGTAACACAGATCATTACTGTTGGCAAAGGCCGGAGGATATGACGACTTCACGAAGTGCTTACAGAATTGACCAAAACAATCCCGGATCCGACCTCGCCGGTGAAACTGCCGCCGCTATGGCCGCCGCTTCTATCGTGTTCCGCCGCGCCAATCCGGCCTATTCGAGAGAACTTCTCACTCACGCCCACCAGGTCCGTTGGTTACTATTCTCTGATTCTTTATCTTCTAATTGAAATCGTACAAGTTATTAATGCATAATGTACAAGTTGCTGGATTTGTCTTGATTGATTAAAAAAAACTAAGTTCAATTTACAAAATTATATTAATCATAGAACTTTACTTTTAATAAAAATGAACTTTTAACAAATAAAACCACAATGTTAGTTTCAGTTTTCCCAAATATGGTACATACATCTCGAGTCACCTATTGCATCTGTTTTTTCTAAAAATATATAAATTGGAAACTTTATTTGAAAATAAAAAAAAAACAAAAAAAAAACAATGTGGCGGATGCTAGCAAAGAGGCCAGGCGTAAGTTAGTGAGTCGGTTGAAAATAATAAAGACGGTTAGTATAGTGTCAGGTTGGTTGTTGACGGTGTAGCTTAGCAGAAAGCTTCCTGCGTGTTTCGTTTTTATTAAAGGAATTGTTGCTTTCATACTCCATGTGCAAGTATTATTGCGTAAGGTACAAGGATTGATGTTTGTTTGACATTACAAATTTCACATGGGAAGTCTCCATTTCTGTGCTAACTTACAACTATCTAATGCATGGTTTTCTGCTACTTTGTACTTTTCTAGCATATGCTAAACTACTCCAAATACCTTTTTCTTTTTCAATACATGGTGACAAAAAGGTCTAATTTTTTGTACTAATTTATGTAACTCATGGATGGCTACATCATTTTATAATTACCATTTATGCACTAAATATATTTTCCATTTTGCTCAAAGTAATAAACAAAAAAACATCCCTTATAGTGTGAGCTGCATAATATTATTCTGTTTAATGTTTATTAGCCATTATTTGTATTTTTTGAAAGAGATGTTTTTAACATTTACATAAGTATTAAAACATTATATCGATCACAAAATTAATGGTATTGAATCCAAAATGACACAGTAAATAGACAAAACATAGAGTACTATGATAAATATAAAATATGATAGTGACAAGTTTAAATTTATGTAAGGCTAAATGTCATTTTGTATTATATTAAATATATTCGAAAATATATAATCTTAGTTTTTTAGTGTGTAACAAATTACCCGTCTATCACGGGAAATAAACAAGATACCACTTGAGTGTTGTCACCGCTTGCCACGTGACACCATTGACTGTCGGTGTGTTGTACTGTACAAACTGCTAATGCACACTCTATAGTTACTATTTAAACTTTTTGTTTCTTTCCTATCTTGCCCTTGTACGTGTCACTAACTTCCTCATTTCATTTTTTCAGCTGTTTGATTTTGCCGACAAATACAGGGGTAAATACGACAGTAGCATCTCCGTGGCCCAGAAGTACTACAGATCTGTCAGTGGATACGCCGTACGTCACCACCAAATATTTCTCAATTTACATATTTGCCCATTTCGATTTTCTTTAATTTTAATTTTATTTATTATGAAAAAAACAGGATGAATTACTTTGGGCAGCTGCTTGGTTGTACAAGGCAACAAACCAAGAGTACTACTTGAATTACTTGGGGGAAAACGGTGACGCCCTCGGCGGCACCGGGTGGGCGATGACGGAGTTCGGTTGGGATGTTAAGTACGCCGGCGTTCAGACCCTTGTCGCCAAGCTTTTGATGGGTGGGAAAGCCGGTGAACACTCGTCGGTGTTCGGGAAATACCAAGAGAAGGCGGAGATGTTTATGTGTTCGTGTATGGGTAAAGGTTACCACAATGTTCAAAGGACTCCCGGAGGTTTGATTTACCAGCAACGATGGAATAACTTGCAGTTCGTCACCAGCGCCTCTTTCCTCCTCACTGTCTACTCCGACTACTTAACTTCCGCCAGGAAAGATCTTCGTTGTTCTACCGGCAGTGTCGCTCCGTCAGAGCTTCTCGCATTTGCCAAATCTCAGGTGGATTACGTTCTCGGAGATAACCCTAGGGCGACAAGCTACATGGTCGGGTACGGAAACAACTACCCGCAACAAGTCCACCACCGTGGTTCCTCGATCGTCTCCGTAAAGGTTAACCCGTCGTTCGTGAGTTGCAGAGGCGGATACGCGACGTGGTTCAGCCGGAAAGCAAGCGACCCGAATCTGTTAACCGGCGCCATTGTCGGTGGTCCTGATGCTTATGATAACTTCGCCGACCACCGTGACAATTACGAGCAGACTGAACCCGCTACTTATAACAACGCTCCTCTTCTTGGAGTTTTAGCCAGGTTACACGGTGGTCATTCCGGCTTAAACCAGCTACTTCCGGTTGAAATCCCTCACGTCGCTAAACCTATCGCTGTTCAACCTAAACCTAAAGCGTCTCCGACCGCTTCCGCCGCTCCAATTGCGATCGATCAAAAGGCTACCGCTTCATGGGTGGCTAACGGAAAAACATATTACAGATACTCCGCCGTGGTGACTAACAAATCCGGGAAGACGATGAAGAATTTGAACCTTTGGGTATCGAAGCTGTATGGTCCACTTTGGGGTTTGACCAAGAACGTTAACGGAGGATCTTATGGGTTTCCGACGTGGGTCAGCTCGTTGCCAGCTGGCAAAAGCATAGAGTTTGTGTACATCCATAGTGCTCCAATCGCCGACGTGTCAGTTTCAAGCTACACATTGGCCTAAAATCAAGATTCTTAACAAGCTACGATTTTATGGGGTTTGTGAGAAATCAAATGTGAAGGTATAGAAAAAGGAAAAAGAAGAAAGGAAATTGAATTTTAAGTTACGAGTGTTTGGTGAATAAGGTCGGAAGAATAGAGGAAGAAAGGAGTGAAGAGAGTTTATTTATTATAAAAAGTGCTCATCCTCTTTCACCTCCTCCTTCATTTTAGGTCTTATGATGTTGGGTGAGTATACAAGATAATTATACCTCTCAACAGGGTAAAAAGTGAGAGATCTGGTTATGTTCTGTTTTTGTTTTTTTTGTGTTCTGTTTTGTGTTGTTTTTTTTTTTTATACTTCAAAACAGCTTTGGAGTAGTGAGTGTCTGTTTCTTTTTGTTTATGCTGTTGTAAATTTGGCAACATTGCTTCCTTAATTTGCAGTATGAATATAGAATGTGCAACATATTTGTTTTCATGTTTTTGTTTTCTTCTTTTAATACTCACTTAATGATTTTCTGTACAAATCATAACCTATTTGATCAATAACTACATATATATATATATTACCAACCAGAAATTAAAAACCCTTCTATATTTCATTTCTATTAACCTTCTACCCACATTAAATGGTAATAAGTGGACTAAAATATTATTAATTTCATTAAATATGACGGATGTCATTATTTGATAGGTTAGGAAGATAAATAGAATAAAATATAAGAAAATATTTAATTTCTAATTACCATACGCATAAAGACAGACAATATAACTTTTCTAAACTAGAAATTTATATCTCATTATTCTTATACGTACATACAACTAATGTTTGATCGGTTTACTTTTTAAATTAATGTAAGGTTGCAAAATCTACATATGTTTTCTAAAAAATATTATAAGTTGGTTTGTGCTTGAAAATATCTTAAATGAAACAAGCTTTTATTTATTTACATTATCATTTGGCACCATGACCAAACAACCTATTAGGTATCTCTGGTCAAGGTCCGTGATGCGAAATGACAAATAACAGTCTACTTAACCTTGGAATGGACATATCACAATTGCCTAGTTTCCCTTAACTCCAACACGTCCTCAACATATATAAACAAAACATCTTAAATAACACTTAACAGTCATATGCAATATGAGCTTTATGTTTATTAGGTGGAGCATCCACCAGGCAACGAATCACTCCACCAACTACTTATTCGGTACAAACATGGAACCTTAAATCACAATAACAATAAACATATCTCTGAACCTTATAAATACAAATGACCATCCCACACAAATGGGTTATGTTTTTTATTTTTTATTTTTTTCTCCGGACTCTTTTAACACTATCTCATTCTTATTCTTACATTACCCCAATGGTAACTTGATTGTTGAAGCGTACCGCGAGATACCTCTCGGGATATAACTAACCCTTTTTCTAGCGACATCATGTCTTAGAGTGTTGGTATGTCATACTCACCCCAAAGGACATTGCCCCCATACTCTGAACCACAATTGTATCGTTGGGCGCCATTCATGAGATTGTTAAATGCATATCATGTATCCAACTTCACGTACATGTACTAGTTTTGCTTAGCATTTCGATATAAACTCTTCTTGCATATTCATTGATTAATAGACAACATAAGAATTTAGTGGAATGTATCGTACTACTCACCGTTTAATTGAATTTGTAGAGCAAACGGATGGTGAGTAAGTTCGTGAGGACAAAAAGAGGATTGGAGCATGCATGGAGATGCACAATGCTAATGGAGCACTACATAATCAAATCAAACAAAGAACCGAACCAAACTGGCTGAGACTGCATGTAACATCCCAAAAATGCTGATAAAAATTTTTCATTTTAAAACCACCAAATCATACATCAAGTAATTTAAACAAATCATAATAAAAATGTTTCACAATCATCAGAGTAAAAAAAACAATCGGTGCGGAAAATCACAAGGGATGTTGTGCAGTTAAGTTTGGCTATTCATTTTGGAATTGGAATTTGGAAGTACCTGAAAATGTTTAAACCACAAACCATAAGCTGAGTTCCCTAAAATACCACATACCATACAAATGGATCCAGCCCAATATACAAATAAGCCCAACCTAACAACATGCAAATAGGCCCAACCCAACATGCAAATGGGCCATATATATATATAAATGAGCCTAGCCCAACATACATCTAAATGGTCCCACTCCAACATACAAATAAATTGGCCCAACCCAATATACACATGCAAGAATCATAAAGACAACTAACATCTTACATAGTATAGTGAGAAGACTCACCTAACTTACGAAATCTGCAAAGAACACAGCTCACTGCCATGAAACCTCACCACAACACACCTATTGAATCAGGCAAGGTCCCAGATTTGTCTAACCTCCAAAACTATACATTTTGACCAAAATTCAAATTGGTTGAAGATCAAAGTCAACGATCAACACTTCCATTAGATGACCTTCACGTCGTGACCAACTCAAGATTACATCGTGGAAAACAAACTCAACCTGGTCCCAACTTAGTCACGATTCAACTTAGCCTCATCTCAACTCTTTATCAATCCAGGACACCGTCACGACATGATGGCCATGTGTAACATCCCAAAATTCAAGCCCGAAAATTTCATTTTTGAATTAATAATTTTGAAAACATTTTACCATAACATTGTCAGTAAAGCAACACAATACAAAATCATAATGTTGTGTCCCAAACCATGACATAAAAAATAATGAAAATCAGAGTACAATCCTAAAAAGTCTGATGCGGAATCGTGTGTGTGTGTGTGATGCGATGCTACGTCGCCATCTCCTTCCCCTTAGACGAAGAGGTACCTGAAACCAAAACAGAAACTGAAAGCACAAAGCTTAGTGAGTTCCCCCATCATACCACATACCCTACAATATCATAGGTATCTTTCAACTGGTAATCATCATCGGTATCTTTCAACCGGTAATCATCGTCGGTATCTTCCAACCGGTAACTTCCATATGTATCTTTCAACCGGTAATCATCATTGGTATGTTTCAACCGGTAACCATCATCGATATCTTTCAACCGGTAACTGGGGACTATTCCACCCCCTACCACTAGCATACAACATAAAGATATAAACATACGATCAGGCATATCTGGGTACTAACCTACCCTTCGGTCCTAAGGACCATTGTCAGGGAAATTGATCCCTACTATACACATAACATATCATACAGATAAATCTCATAACCCGAGCACATAGCCAGACCAAGATAATTATCACAAAGACAATCATATCCTAATATTCCTCTTTGGTAGGTCGGCATTGTGGCCTTAGACCTACCCCTACTGGAAGGTAACTCACCTCGTACAAGTAGCTGATGATAATCTGTGCGGGAAACCTCTATCTGCTGCTGCTCCGAAAATCCTCCGGCTATAATCCCCACAAAACACTCAGTCAGAATTTGATATCTACTCTTAGGGTAAAATGACCATTTTACCCCTAACCACGTCCAAGTCAAAGTTAACTTGCAGTTGACACGACTCGCCGAGTTGGGTCGTCAACTCGTCGAGTCCCTACCATTTACTCGTCCTTATCTATGACTCAACTTGTCGAGTTTGGCAACGACTCGACGAGTTCCCCTTCTTTAGGAACATCAATGAACCTTCATCTGACTCACCGAGTTGTATGAACAACTCGTCGAGTTCACATTCATCTGATGAACAAGTCCTGACCTTGACTCGCCGAGTTGTATGAACAACTCGCCGAGTTCATCTTCAAGCATAAGAAGATTGCCTTGGACTCGCCGAGTCTGTTCTAGCACTCGTCGAGTCCTATGAACTCCAGGTCTATAACTAAGCCCAATGCGTTGGGTCACTCCTTCTGTCCTGCTACAACCCTTCTAACACCCAACTGAGTTATTTTGACCCTCAACAGATATGAGACTCAAAGCCTTGGACTCGTCGAGTCCCAAGAACGGACTCGGCGATTCGATAACGTCCACACCCTAAATCCTCGATTTCCGATGTACAACACTTGTCCAAATGATAGATCCAAGCCCCTAAGCTCGATCTAGCACGTAAAGTAACGAACTTTACATGCATGCATGGGACTTTTGAGACAAAAAGGCTCTAAAATGGATCTTTTGTTGCATGTGGCCTTCCTTTGGTGCAAAAGCAACCCAAATCTGTCTTGTGACTCTTCCCAAGTGCTAGATCCGAAGTATTGACCCTCAACCATGTTTGCAAATCATGGTTGGTCGCCTCATATGGCTTAAAAGCCCTAAATCTTCCCCAAACTTGAATCCTTCAGCCTCCTCTTGATCCTTCTATGCTCTTCCTTCTTCCTTGAGGTCAAAACCCACAAAAATCACTCAAAAACCTTAGTTCTTGGACCAAAACACTTAAGGTTTGCTATAGAGAGTCTTTGGGAGCATTAGGGACGAGTGGTGGCTGAAAGAGATGATTAAATAGGGTGAAAACCCTCAGATTAGGGTTTTGTCCAGTTAGAGCCTACTCGTCGAGTCTGGCCACCGACTCGATGAGTCCATCACTTAAGTCCCGCGTCCAAACCCCTTCCTACTTGACGAGTTGGGCCTTCAACTCGCCGAGTCCCAGGCCAAAAATGCAAAATAAAACAAAATAAATTACATACCAGGAACCGAGTGCTACACCATGCCCTCACATCGTGACAGTGCTAGTCCAAAACAATTAGGGATATTCTCATCATCACGCCGAGACCACCAAATCGTCACGTCGTGTAACGATTTAAAATTTCAAACCAATTTTTTTTCCAAACACAATAAACACATGTCACATTTCTCCAAAAACCTCAAGTATCAAATATCAGTACATTTTTCAAAAATCATTTATCATGAATCCAGGATCCAAAATAAATATAACTCTAGCTTAGATGTGTGTGTACAATCAAGTCGGTGCCTTCCCGCGATCCTCATAAGTACCTGAAACACATGACACATAAAACGGTAAACACGAAGCTTAGTGAGTTTCCCAAAATCCCTCATACAACACATTAGCCA